ACGAACAGTGTTCTGGACCTGTTGTTTCTCCTTTGAGTGGCAATAACAAATAGCTGAAGGACAACTACTGACTAAAAGTATACAAGCACAATCACCTATAGAGGTTCTTGAGGCAGGACTCAGTTGGCCCAATTAATCCTCTAACCCCTCAATAACTGATCAAAACATAAAAGAGTAAAAAGCACCTCCAGAGGCAAGTCATTACAACTATCTCAGATATTTATCTCACAATGAGAAAAATCGCCTTCAGGATGTGTTCATCTCTGTCTCCCAATCACAGAGGAAGTTCAGGCAACCAATTTAGCCTTAACGTGCAGCTCTCTGATGGGTACAGCAAGAATATCGCAAGCTGCAGTGCAGTTTTCAAAAGTGCTTAAGTCAGGAGGAATTTTTGAAAAAAAAGCAACAGCAAAAAAAAAAACCCTTTATGACTAATATCTTACACTTTTTCCTCCTGTAAAACTTACTACAAGATATCTTTTAATATACTGCCTAATATCAACATACATTTTCAGTTTGAAAGTAATTAACAAAATAATAGAGAATTTAACTGAAATACATGATTTTTGATGTCTCTTTTCTTTCAGAAGTATGTACGACAGCTCTCAGCTTGACCACAAAGCACATTCCATTCCTTACTTTATCACGTACAGACTAGGAAAATGTTAAGCATAAAGGTCTACTGAGCCAATACAGCTTATGGAAACATACAATTGATTACAAGGACAGAGCTTAGAGCAAACTCTTACAGTCACAATATACTGAGCAGACATGCTGTTAACACAGTTAGTTATTTTACCTGCATAGCACTCTTGCCCAGCTTGACGACCTCAAACAAAGTGACAGGGTCCCCTTCTCCATTCTGCTGAGGGTGACCATTAGCTCTTCCACGACTTGCTCCTCTAGCTCCAGATTCTGAACGACCCTTATCTCCTGGAGACTTCCGTGGTTTCTTAGTGGCAGACTGGGCAAATAAAACCAGCAGAACGAAAACCTATTATAGTTATGGCACCTGAAATCACTCAAAGTATCTTTACAAATCATAGAGAGATATTACATACACATTTACGCACTCACACAAATACATACACACACACATCATAGTATAAGTCACATTAGAAGGGAACTTTGGAGGTCTCTAGACCAACTTCCCACTCAAAGTAAGGTCAACTACGAAATCAGATTAGGTAGCTTAGGGCTTTATGCATATAAATATATTTATATTTATTAGTGGTTATTGTGAAACAACTTAAAAGTCACTGGGAGTCTTTTAAGGTAAGTAGTGTCAAATTCCCAATGTTAAAGCATCAGTACATGTCAGTATCTGTACTAGTCTTATTCAATATAAAGAGATAGCTGACATCATGACTAAATTAGATAGATGGCAGCAAATTATAAACAGGACAAAGTGTTGTACAAAAGCATACAAAACATTACAAAAGTGTTGTAATTTGGCATACAAAATAAAGAATAACTGAGAATAGCTGAGGATCTTTGGAAGACAACAAAGAAGTTATTAAACATACATTTACCATGTTAATACTAGCTTTTATATTTAAACATTTTTCCCCCAAATCAACAAACAACTTTTATAAGAAACTACAACATAAGAAAGATTCAGCTGTTCAATTCCACTACAATTAAACAAATACATTTATACAGATTTAGTAGACCATCATAATGGCCCCTTTCTTGCTCGAAAAGCTGTGAGTGGAGTTAAGACATTTTGCCTGTGAATCTAAATTATTTAATGTAAATTCTTTCTAGATTCTTCAAGCTTATAATCAGAACCTATAAATAGCATTTCTGAGATGTCACCTACTGAACAGTTTGCTTTGAATGGAAGTCACTTTGTGAAAAAAATTCAGTTCCTGGGGGGAAAAAAGGTAAAATTCCTGACAAGATTTTACTTCCAAGGTCTGTAACTTCTCCCTACTTTGAGACAGACCAAGGCAAAAGCTGCTATTTTCTGCTGAAGAAAGAAGCTATTTTGAGGAATTATGTTAAAGAGAACGAGATGCATGCAACTCCAAGACTGCACCAAGGACAGTATCTCCATGGTACCATTCACCTTGAAAAGTACAGAAGTCATTTATTCATCTAGAACTGTAGAGGAAAATAGTACTCGGGTTACATCAAAGCTCTTAGAGGAGAACATGAAGTCAACATTTTTGGTTGCATCCTTTGGAGGATGCAAGCAAATGTAGATGCATTAAGAATTTTCCTGCAGATAAAGGAATCTCTTATCTGGAAGAAAGCTGGTAGAAGACAGCTGAGCTGTAGTCTATCCTTCCCTTAAAAGGGGTCACTATCGGTAGGGCCAAAGAGCTAAAGAAAAGCGTAAGGTACGGTGCAACCGCAGCCACCTCTTGCAAATATTCAATTAAAGATTGCATACAAATGCAAACTGGAAAGTTTGTAATAACAGTAGGATCTCTATGAAGAGATTTTTGGATAGCATCTGTACTTACAATCAGAAGAACATGAGAAGTTCTCCTTCACTGAATTTTTACACATTTGCCTAGCTGCCTTTATCATCAAGAAAATCATCAATGGACAAAACGTTAACCAACAAGCCCTGAAGAGACACATAATCACTATTTAAAAAACAATGAGGAATTACTAGTAAATGCACTATTTTGAGATGCATAATCCACGTATTCACTCAATTTGGGTGACTGCAAGCCGTAAGTACTTAAACTAGCCATGATTACTGCTAAATGAAAGCAGGATGGCAAGCTGACACCCTCTGCAGAAGCCATCACAGGCTAGAACAGGCCCCCTCTTATACTTAGTTTCTCTCAACATGTAATTCAAAGTGAGACATTAAATACTGAGGGGAAAGCAAGCAGGAGATGAACGGACATGTCAAATACACACAGAGATATCTTGTTACGGCAAAGCAATGAGAAATGCTGCCTGCATTGGCAACAGGACAATGAACTAGTGCACAAACACTCAAAATGAGCAATCACAAGAAGTGTAAATGCTAAGTTTAAACCTGAATTAAGTAAGGTATTCTTAGTGTGGGGGAAACTTTGGCCAAGACTCATAGCTTGGAATGGAAGGGTGAGAGCACCAGTGAACTCTCAAAAGAGGTGCAGAAATGATGAGCCGACACAATTCTGACAGAATTACTGGTCAAAGCCAGGTTCTACAAGCCCAAATATCTCAGGCTGGAAAGGATAAAGGCCTTTAGGGAAGACCTAGGACCTGAATTAACACCAGATCTAGTATTGAGTCTACTCGGATAAAGCTTTTCTCTCGTACAGATCTTTCTTTTGACAATTAGAACATCTCTCATGGTGGACAAACCAAGTCTTTCAGTTAACAAAAGCCATCCTACATCCAAGCCAGGGTAGCCCAATCCAGATGCAGGATCTGTGTCAAATCCTGCCTCAAGAGACACAACAGGCAGAGGAAGGATCCTCTGCTGAGGAACTGAAGAAAATCCAAAATTGTAACTTTCTGAGCTAGGTAGGGATCGACAGCATCTTTGGTAGGGGAGATACTAGAGGAAGGGTGACCACAAAACCTCCACTCCAGAGCACCAGCATAGGCATTTGACAAGAAGCCCAACCTCAAATCCACTTTGGAGTACAAAAACAGAAACAAGTCATATCTAGGTCCTAGAGGCACCAGAACTTCCCAGTATTTCTGCTAATACTGTACCAGAAATTACCCTGGTACAGTAATTATGAAGTTCAGCAACTACAAGGCACAGAAGCAAGGCACTTGGCTAATACGTAATAATATTATAATGCTGCTGTGAGATATTACTTGCTGAATTGACAGCAGGAAACCATGCAGGCCATCTTGACAGATGTGAGCTTTGTTATGCTACCCCAGGATGGAGATAACCAGCATCACAGACACCAATGAGGGAGAAGCATGGAATGGCATGCCATAGAAACGCAAAGAGGATTCCTCCGCTATAGGAGGAAAGGAATGACTATGGAGTATCTGCTGAACTAGTGTACTCTTGGAAGTTGAGTTGCAAAGCTAAGCTGGAAGATTAAGAAATTGTGTGTGACGTTGAGAATGCCAAGCACAGGTAGTCCAGCATCCTGAGACAGATGCCAGGGATAAACAATAACCTTCAAAAACTATCAGTGACAAGTACAAAATGGGACACTTTGTCAGATCAAGCAGAAGATGAAGCAGAGTAAACATGTAGTAAGTCCACTCTTGTGAGGATCCAACAAACAGTCATCAAGATACAGAGAAAAGAAACTCCCTGCTCTCTAACATGAGCCACAATAACAGTCGTTGCTCGCCCTGTCTAACCCTCCAGCCACTGTGAAAAGCCAGGGGACACTGAATAAAAACACATATGGGAATGCTATCACCTAAGGCCCCCTTAAGTTGATAGCCACCATTGTGGTTTGGTTGGATTTTTCTTTTTTTTTTTTTTTTTTAAAAAGTACCAGTATGTCGGAATCCTATTTTTCTGAGGCGGGTAAGAACTGATCAGGTGTTTCCCAGAGTCAAAACTGACCTTTCTCTTGTTTACTACTGGTTTTACGAGAAGGCTGCCTGAAAAGCCATGGAGAAGGCAATTGGTTAGCAGTTCAGTATATAAATGTATTAATAAATCCTTGTAATGATTTTCATAATCCAAGTATCCACTGTAACGGCAGATCAGATGCTGCTGAGGTGAGTTAGGACTACCAGAGGGAGGAATAAATAAGCAATGTGGGAAAAAGAAGGTTTTCTATCACACGCAAAGAGATGCTGCTTGGAGTCGTGAGCCTGTAGCAGTTAAAACTGTGCTTTCACTCTGAGACTTGGGACAGCAGAATTGGACAGAGAGTGGGGTCAAAACGAACCGAGTTGTGTGAGATGCCAACCAGGGCTTCCTCCCAAATACCAGTTGAAAATCCTATCCAAGGGTCTGCAGGTATCTGGGTCCTTCAAACCATGTACCGTCTCCTCAATCAGAACATTTGGTGAAATGGTTTTCTCTTAAAACAAAGAGCCTGGAAACAACGCACCATAAGATGAGGACATCAGAGCAAAACAAACGTCCACCAGCAATGTCAGTACCGCACTAGACGATCTCCAAAACATATTACCACAAATCTTTTGGTATCAGGGCAAAAAGTCTGGTGATGGCTCACACTACACTCCATCCTTCCTGGAAAGGCTCTTTGCCTTCATTTCTATGTGGGCAAAGCCTTCTGACCTCCAAGCGGCAAGTAAAACATGACGTACAAAGCCTACGGCTCTTTCACTGGAGCCTGAAGTGGGCCAGATGAAGAAACTAAACAAAGAATTTCCGCTTGGGGAAAAAGAGCTCCAGCTTTGAATGCCACAATCATCCAGAGTATGAATTGATCTGAAACATTAAAGAAAGCGTTCTCTACTGTACATAAGATTTAGCTAGCTTGCCTTTTCTTTTTTAAGCTCTAAAGTATCCCATAAACACATTCTACAGCTCAAACTGTGCACAGAATGCTTAACATTGCAATGTTTATTTTTCCACCAAAATAATCACTAAGGATAAGAATATTTTCTTTCTCACAGACTTCAGCTGAGTTCATTCTGCTTTCACTCAAAAAAGAAAAAGTTCAAAGTAACACCTGGCAGAGAGATCAGCCTCAGAGAGGTGAAGGTCCCCAAATTACAGCCATATTAAAACAGAAATGCCTGATTATTTTTTAAATGTTCACATTAGATTAAACTGATCACAACTACAGCTGAGAATTTATACACATAAGCACTAGGAAATTCAGAAGTTAATGTTCCAGAAGCAAATCTAAAATGGTCATTTAGCTGACTACATAGTTTACCTGTTACTTTATGGTTTAAACTAAGGTAAACAGGCAGCAAAATATTTACCTTAACTATAATTAAACTAAGACGGTGAAAATTCATAATTTTACATTATGCATTAATAATAAACTAATTTAGGAAAAATCATCATCTTTTAATATCTTTAAAATTATTTTGAAGAAAAAAAATGGAAAACAACTTACA